ACCCACGCCGCGCACCCACGCCGTCACCCTCACCTTCTACCTTTTTCCACGGCTACATTGACGTCCCCCCTGCCCCCAATCACCAAGTCGCCATGGTCGTCACGGGCTCCGCTTTCGCGCTCCCGCCTCGGCCCGCACCTCTCCCCTCGCCCTCGCCCTCGCCCGGGGGCTCATGCGCGCCGCTGCAGGGTGCCAGCCGACCCAGCCGCGGGTACCCCCCGCTGGCGGTATTCGCCAAGGAGCTGGGACGCCACCGACCCACGGGTCCGCAGCCGACGTGCGGCGGTGGCCCACTCAGCCCTCGGTTGCTCAACGGCGTCTCGTCCGGGATGCGACGCCACGGTGGCGACGGATCGAGGGCCGTTGCCGCTGCTGGCGCCGTCGCCATGCCGTCATCGTTGTTGTTGCTGTTGTTGTTTTCATCCACCTCAGGGGACGGCATCCCCAGCACCCGTTGTGCACCATGGCCGCCATGGCCGCCGCCGTCGCCGTCGTACAGTGACACCGCCGCCTCCGGCAGCCATACCGTTACGACCGGTAGAGCCCGGTCATGGCTGTCGTACTTCCATGCCGCCGCTCTCATCACCGCGTCGTCTGGGAATGACCCGTGGGGCTCTTTGGGTGGCTCTCTTCTCTCGTCCTGGACGAGCAGGCTCCTAGGGGCGGTGACGCCGTACGGCACCAGCGCTCCAGAATTGTCAAGAGTACATAACTCATCATTATCCTTATTCTTATTATTGATATTACTTGTAACAGCTATGGCAGCTCCTCCACCAGTCAATCCGTTATCACCGGGGTTGGGAAAATCAACAGCCGCCGCCGCTGCAGCCCAAGTCGAGGCCATGGGGTACAGCTTCAAATGCCACGTCATTCTGTTGCCGCCACCTCCACCGCCATCTAGAGAGTCGCGGCCTGATAGCCGATGCGGCGGTCCTGCACCCCGAAGAAGCTGCGGCCCGTCCGGCCCCCGCGGCGGCGTCGGCAACGTTGACGTCGAGGATGGCGGCGGCGCCGCCGCCGCGTCAACATGAACCCCACCACACGCGGCTGCCGCCGTCGCCGCCGCTGTAATACCGTAGGCCGCGTCCCGGCGGTCGCCGTCATCACCGCCGGAATACGCCGCCGCCGCTGCCGCCGCCGACACCGCCACGGCTGACCCCCTCGTTCTTTTCCCTCCAAAGCGGGCCGGCGGGGACGCGCCGGTCTCGCCATCGTCCACCGGTTCGAAATCCTGATATGTCTGATCGACAAGGCGACAAGGCCGCTGCGGACTCACTATGCAGTCTTCCACGTCCGGCGGCCGTACAGCGCCAGCACAACGAGGCGCAACGCGGGAACCGGCCGCCATGTCCATCAGCGCTTCAACCGCCGCCAGCTCGCAGCTCTCGGAAGCTAGCGGTGCCAAGACTGACGCTACCGCCGCCTCCGCCGCCTCCGCCGCCGCCGTCGCGGCCCTAAATCCCGCCAGGGCCACCGCCGACAACTCCGTAACATCCTGAGTAAAGGCTTTATTCCGCCAGCGCCGCGTCGGCCCACACGCAGGCCCCCCTGGACGACTCCACCCTGCCGCCCTGCTGGACGTCCCCGGAACACGACTTCGCAACGATGGCGATGGCGATGGCGATGGCGACTGTAGCTGTAGCCGGTCTTGCAGCTGCCGCCGCGGCCGTTTCGATTGGCGCTGCCGTTCATGCAGGTACGGCACAGAAAACCCCTGACTAGCGTCGTCCTGCCCAGCGGCAGGGTACGCCGCTGCCGTGCAAAGATAAGGCTCGTCGTACACGTCCGTAGTACATCGGTACTGCCTAGTAGCTGGTTTGCTTCCTCCGCTTCTGCAGCCGCGGCCCGATAGCGGAGCGGCATCGCCGCCGTACAGCGGCGGTGATGATGACGACGACGGCGGCGCCGTCGCGTTGTTGCTATCCCCGGGTGATCCCCCCCGCCCCGCCTGCCGGGCGGGCCCCCAGGGCTCCGTTCCCAAAACACAATCCATGTCGGCAGGCTGTCGCATCAGTACCTGCATTGGCAGACGCGGCTGTACCCCATGTATCGCCGGCACGGGTTTCAACCCATGGGTCACTGCCACAAGCGGCTGTGACCCATGGGTCGCAATCGCCGCGCTGAGACGTCCGGAAGGCCGCGGCGCCCAGGATGGCGTGGATGGGCGGCGTGTGAGTACAATATCTGGATGACTCGATACATTGGGGCCCACACTGCTTTGGTGCTGGTATGCGGCGGTGGTTCGTAGTGACGGAGGTCGTGTTGGCGCTGATGGCATGATCTGCAAGGCCCCGGAGTGCCAGGGGGCGTCAGGATCATCGTTGTCGTCCGTGCCGCTGACGCCATCATAATCGTCTCCGTCGTTTTCGTCATCGACTTCGTCGTTTTCGTCGTCGTCGTCGTCGTCGTCGTGGCCACAGCTGTTGTCATCGTCGTCGTCATCTACCCCGCGGTCGCCAACACCAGCACAGCCCCAAGGCAGCTCTGAAACCATGAAACCGCGGCTGCTGCCCCCGCCGCCGCCGCCGCCGCCGCCGCTTCCGCTCCCGCCGCCGCTGCCCTCCCCGCCGTTGACTGCAGCAGCCGCCTCAGCAGCCGCCTCTACAGCCACCGCGTCCGAAGGATGAAGAGATGTCCGATACTGTCGCTGCTGCTCCTGCTGCCGCTGCTGCTGCTGGTAATCATGCTGCTGCGGGTAAAGGTTTTGGCCGCAACCTGACGGCGACGAATGCAGCGTTTGCACCGCTCCGTTGGCTCCGTACGACAATGACGAAGAATGGAGGCCCCCCTCACTGTCATCATCATCCTTGAAAGGCGGCGGCGGGGCGCGAGCTGCCGCAGGCGACGGCCTGGCGAGGGCCGTCGGCAAGGCGTACAGTTTCAAAGATCGTTGTGGAGCCACGGCACCGCCGCCGCCGCCGCTCCTGCCTGCATCGCCACTTGCGCATCGCCACTGCGGCATACCATGCGGCGGCGGCTCCCAGTTGCCCAGCCAAGAAACCTCAAGGAATGGAACTTCAACATCTTGGGTTGATCCTCCCTCCTTGCACCTGCCGCCATCGCACTCGCCGCCGTCACACTCGCCGCGGCATGGTGGAGGTTCTGCATGCGTGCGGGGCACGTGCGGGTGATGCCTGTGCTGCCAGAGGGACTCTGAGGTGAGACACGGGGGTTGGAGCCTGTGGGAACGGTCCCAAGATAAACCGCCGCAACTGCTATGGATCATTTGCTGGCGCTGCTGGCGCTGTTTTTGTTGGCGCTGCTGTGGCGGCGGCGAGGGCAGCTGTCCTGAAGTTCCCGGAAGTGCATTGGCGAAAAGGAAGCGACGCTGCCATTGCTGGTTGGTGGTGGCGGTGGGGGGAGCGGCGATGTCGCCGTAGGTTGTGTGTAAGGTTGGCTCCTGGCCGGGGGGCAGATAGGGAAGGAGAACGGCGAACCGGGGGGAAGAAGAAGCGGGTGGTGGCTAAGTGCATATTTTGCGGATTGCGAATGTAGGATAGGACGGTCAAGCGGACAGGAAGGGATAGGGTGAAATGGAGTGAGAGTGGGGCGCCTCAGGCGTTTTGGCCGTGTGGGAAGGAAAAAATGTGAGGACATCGGAAGAGGGTAACCGGGTAACGGGGGGGATTGGGGGTGAAGTGGCAAACCGGGGAGGGGAGGTGAAGGATGCGCAATTGGAGGGGTTGAGATTGAGGGCACAGCGTCCGATGCACGTGCCGCGAAGGCGCGTGCCCGTGCAAAGTCTGGAGATAGCGGAGTCCGGTAGAGATATCAAAATAATGCTCGCCATTATCTCTAATAAAATTTGTAAGACTGACTTCCATAGGGTCACAAACATGACGAAGCAGCGAAACCACTTTACGGTACAAGGTGCAGGACCTTTCGGCCGAGTAGCTTGTAGGCCCTGAACCCTTGTGACTGTGATGGACTACAGGAATCAGGAGAAATTATATTCGCTTCGCTGAACAGATGCGAAACCTAACGGAAGGTCACGTGCACAGGCGGCGCTCCTCACCGCCATGCGCCTCAGGCCACTAAATTAACTCGTCGGATTGCTCCACCTCAGTCCTACACAGGTTTGCAGTTTTAAGTATATTTTCAATGGCCTGGATATCGGTAAGAGAGGTGGCAGGCGGTCGACACAAGGACTCCGTTTCATGCTTAAGGCGTTAGGTCTTAGGCAAGACATGGCGAGGAATAGCGGCAAAGTATTGCATTACATCGTGCCAAATTTTTGAAATATGGTAACGTCTATAAGGCCATTGAAGGTTACACCAGTTTCCCTGGCGTCCTGCCACTAACACAGAAGTGCGATGAATGCAAAGCTACGTCCAAGCCATACAGAAATGTTACAGATGATGAGTACTTTAATTTTAACGTGCATGCTTACAATTTTGGGATGCAGGAGTTCGGGCCGTTTCCTGACTCACCCCTGAAGTATGAAGAGCTTCCATAACTAGAATTAATCCCGCTCGTTGTACGGGGTCCACCTTTTCATCGAATTAGCAGCATTCTAATCTCGTCAGGTTCGTCGACCTATCTAGTTGACGCGGCGTCGGCGCGCCAAAGCCAAAGCGATATAATAAAAAGTTAACGTAACGTCAAACCCAGTTGCGAGTATGTATCCATTATCAAGGTAATAAGAAAGCGTGGCAATCAAAGAGGCCAATGTTGCGGGCTGCGAATCTCAGGGCGTCGTACAACACAGTTTCCGTGAACCGCACTGCACATTCCCACCTGGCAGTTCCAGATCTCAATACCAACGTAAACACTTGCTGGTTACCCTCCTCCATCACCTTATGCACGCTTTATCCATGCGCCGTGGCTACCATCTGTCCAAAGATGTCGACCATCAAGGGCAGCCCTGGTATGCCCACCGCCCACGCCTCCACGGAGACAGTGGTGCCTGGACATAAAATCAGATCAGGAAACACGTCGTCGCCAGAACTGCGATCAAATCCGCCCACACGACTGAAAGGTATATAGAGTTACGGTACATGTTCTTACATGTACACGTACGGCTATCTGACTAGCGCGCCTGCTCGCTCTGCTGCGTCTGAATCCATTACACTGCCGCACATTCTCGCAGTAGCTTCCGGAAGGACGAATCACTGTTATGAATTGCACAGGCCCTTGAACACATGGTAATCCATTGCGGAAAGTAGTTACCGTGCACAGTAGCCGTTACCTGGCAACTAACTCGCTAACTGCCTCATGCTGACGAACGAAGAAAGCCGCTTGTGCTTCAGACATAGCCCTGACCAGTGAGATCTGCGTTGGGGCCCGTACCGCCCTGTAAGACAGCTGCGTGGTGCCGCCCCTTGCGCGCTGTATATTTACGTACAAGCACCAACATACATGTTGGGGATCGAGACCTGTCAGGGTCGAAAATCCTTCAGATGGTGGAAGGTATTGCGCCCCTAGTTGATGGACGGTGGTGACTTGGGATAAAGTTAACCTGCGAGCCGACCAGGAATGGAGTTGGGCCGCTGTCGACCCGGCAGATTCCGTTGGATGCTGGTGGTGGGTGCGGAACCTGAGCGATCCACTGAGAAGTTGACTAGGGTGACTGGATGAGGGTGCCCCGAAATACCGGGGAAGGCAGGGTTTCGCAGGGTAGCTGCCACGGGCGAAGATACACCCCCCTGTTTCACACATCATAAGGTAGAAGGGCGTGTAGCCCGTGGCTTCACATTTGCTGTTGTTGATGGCGAAAGCCGAAATACCGGGGAAGGCAGGGTTTTGCAGGGTAGCTGCCATGGGCGAAGATACACCCCCCTGTTTCACACATCATAAGGTAGAAGGGCGTGTAGCCCGTGGCTTCACATTTGCTGTTGTTGATGGCGAAAGCCGAAATACCGGGGAAGGCAGGGTTTCGCAGGGTAGCTGCCACTGGCGAAGATATACCCCCCTGTTTCACACATCATACATGTAGTCACAACACATAAATGTAGTAACAACACATACATGTAGTAAAAAAACACATACATGTGTTATGACAGCAGTGTGTTTCCTTTCGCTGCGTCGTGGTCATTTACCGGAGTGTTACTATTACTGTAATCGTAACGGTGTAGCCATTTACTGCTATTGCTACATCACACCGCCAGTCCGGGTGGTGTCCAATGACACCGGATTCGGTACACCAGCGAAGATGTAGCCATCCGATGTACGACCCGTACAGCGACGTACACGGAAAAGCAACAGGAATAACCACCTGAAGCCCTTTGATACTGATAATGGTAGTGGTATCAGAATATCGCAGCATATGCCAGAAGCCACATTGTGGAAGCACCGGCTTGGGAGGTCTTTAGCTATAGCTATCAACCTTGATAGTGCGAACGAATGAATGGATCGCGTTAAAGTTACAGTGGATGTAAACGGTTCGCCGCATTTGGGCCGTTGTATGGGCCGAAGCCGACCTGCTCAAAACTGATTAGATTGCCGACTGAAGATGGGCACGCCAGACCCTGCCTGATATGATGTCGCCTTTGTCGCATGCGTGCAGGCCCTACTACTGTGCAATCCTTGCAGCGATTGGTCCGTAACCCCAATGTCTCAGGCATACTCTGTTAGTGCTTTGACGGTTTTGTTCTCGTGTCAGTTTGCGATCGTCGTGCCTGGGCCCAACGCTGCATTACCGATCGTATGAAGCAAACCGTCTTGATGGCACGAAACGGCTCCATTATCTTGTCGAGCTGCTACCGGCAACATGCGCACGTTGGAAGCAAGGTCTATCGGGCTCGCGTTCGTTCGTACAGCGGAGGGAGGATAGCAGGGGCTTACGTCCTGCATTACGGCCCATGAGTGGTACGACTATTGCTGCCGATGGGCACGTTGAAGGAGGCTGCTTTCCGGCGCCACACCACCGGACAGTGCGGTTGGGCAAGCGGATTTCCTTCATGCTAATTCCTGATGGAAGCCTTTCTCCTTCCGCATACTAAGGCGCGACTAGACACCTTCCCATTGCGGTGGTCGATATCCTTCTTCTCATCTTTTCGGATCTGCTTCCGTTCCCTTTTTAGGAACGTATTGCTATGTGCAGCTCCTACGGAATCACGTCTTTCCATGGAAGAGTTCATAGCCCTCTGCGATACATTCGTCCGATCTGTTTGGCCTAGTGTCTGCGCTTACCTAGTATTGACCTATAGGCAGGTCCTAATGCTTGTGTTAGTTTCAACGGTTCGAAATGGTCTCCCCACAATGCTCGAGGCACACTTGGAAAAGGAAGAGACGTACATTGCATGTATGGCTTGGGTCCGGCAAATTGATGGAAAGTCCGGATTGCTATTATATAGGAAATAAAATGTTTGAAATGATTCCTTAAGAATGTTTTCCAAACCTTTCTTGTAAGACTGGAGGGTTGTGAAATCCGTACATCTGGAAGGCCTCTAGGGGCTTCGCTAGTGGCTTAATGTTTAGGATTTATGATCTAAGATATAACGCTGCAAGAACTATGTCATGCGGGTATGGACTGGCGCTGAGAAGATCTACGTGCTGTTAAGCTGCTGCGAAATAGCCATAAGCTACGGGCAGAAAGGATGTGTTCATTGCTATATGAGCTATGCATTACGGATTTAATAATGTCAGCCGCTCTTTGGAAGCGTAAGCTGCATAGGAGCGTCAATCCCACCGAGTCGCATGGTGGGCGCATTCGGGCGCACGGTGGGCGGTCAGGAATGCCGGCAGGTTGTAACCGCTGTTGAGCTAACACAACAAAAATGAAAACAGCATGCAATAACCTGTACAAACGTGATATAAAAATCTTTTCAGTCATTACTCGGATGCACTCTATTTTGCCACAGTAAGCGTTTGTGGAGCGCAAAATGTCGGTACCTGCTGAAGCTCATGAACTTCTGCTTTATTTTACATCGGCTTTACATTATCTTTTCCTAAAGGCTTCGTCCATATGACGGTCGAGGCACGCATGCCCTGGCCTGCTGTTCACCGCCGTCCAATCATCAAGTTATTGGAAAGCTTGGAAAAGGCTGCGTGCACCGAGATATGGTTTGCCATGGCGGTCATACACTTTTGATCACACGCGCACGCACAGAAATGAAAGCTCACATCAAAACAAATAATGAAGTGATGGTTTCCATTGGGTATTGGCAATTTGGGTCGACGGACGCGTTATTGATTGCAGGTACCGGCAACCAAAATGAGGCTGACGACACCCGCGCATCAGGGGCACCTTTCCACAGTTTAACTGCCCATCAGCAGCCACGTTTTTAGCCGTGCTGCACATACTTGTTGCCCAGTGGCAGAGCTCATGAAGCTTTCCTTTGCTCTACCTGAAGCGTTTCCGCGTCAAGGGCGATAGGATCTCCCTGCTGATGCGCATCATGCGCATCATGCTATTAGCTGCCTAGCTGCAACTAGATGTGGCACGTTGCGTGGTTCGTTGCGCGGTGTGGCCAGAATTCTTCGCATTGGCTAGTATGGAGATCCCCTGGCTCGGATCAAACGGTAAGCCAGCACTAGCCAGATAGAACACCAATCCAGAGGGCCAGCAAAATGGTACGAATACTGGGAGAACCCCCGAAAAGGTATGGCGAGGGAGGCCCAGACTCGCCATAAGACACGGCAGAATAAAGGTGGAGGGGTGTCCACAGAACGGTAGGCAGGGCCTACTACTATGCACGCCTTGCATGCGGGTTGTACAGGAAGGATCGCCAGGTCTTTGGGTTAGGCACATACCGCCTTAAAGTCTTCCTCGTGCGCTGCGCGTTCATGTACCACCAACTCCTCATTATCGCGGAATCATAAGCTCTTGTATACTTATTTCGGGACATATATTTGGCCCCTGCTTTCTCTGTTACATTGGTGTGGATTGTTCTGGACCTTTTGCTTACATACGGTACCCTCCCATTCCATGAATCAAGGCCATCTTAGCGGCCATTACTTTAATTTTGTGCGTTAGTACGTAATGATTTGTAGCTCGCAGTGCTTATGGTCGGTTCATGAAGTCAATCCTGTACGTGTCTTTTTGTCCATTTAGTTTGCAGCACAAAGCATGAGCCTACACCCATGGGAAAATTAATTTGAACATAATCTTATCCCCAAGAGCCTTTGGACATTTATATGCTCGCGACGCATCTTACTATAGCTGCTGGCTCGGCCGCCCGTTCATCGCGCCAAACACTTCGCAAATTTAGATTAACCCTATTTATTTAGATTAACCCTATATATTTGAAGCACAGCCTGAATACAGTTCATCACGCTTAAGTGTTTGATCTAACTATTGGATGCGCTCTACAAGCGTGAGAGAAGATACGGCGAATGCCGGCACAACCTATAAGTAACAAGGTACAAGTTACAAGGTTCGCCGCACAAATGACTGGGCCGTCGGTGAAAGCTTTCAGGGGCCCGGGAACCTGTTCGCTGTCATCACGCTGTGCGTCAAACCGTGGGGCCGCCTTTATCCCAGCAGGTCGAGTGTGGCAATCCTGTTGCCTACTTATCCCGCGCCTACCTGCTGCAATGAAACCAAAGTTCTAGGTGTGCCATGCGCGTAAAGAAGTAAATACGCGGTGGGACGCAACCAGTGCGGCCATGCTGCTGCTGTTGTTGTTGTTGTTGGTGTGTTACACTGTGGGAAAGGACG